GTAGACAGCGTAGACATGCTGTGCTGATAGAAGAATTGGCTCACAGAAGAGCTCTGAGAAGAAGGAGCGGAGATCAGGTACTGTATCTCAACAACAAGAAGCTCACAGAAGAAATAACTCAGAGATGAATGTTGCCAAGAAGAAGAGGTGGCTGAGAGGTGATGAGTTGCTGGAGAGCAGAGATATATACCTCAAAGAAGAATTTCCTCAGAGACCCATTCTGTCGTGTATTTGTCCAATCGCTGTCACTTACTTGACTCTTTTCTTCATATATACTTGCATCTACTTGCACACATATATACACATTACAACACATCACATCACATCACATCACATCACATCACACGTGCATTACCTTACAGAATGTTTCAGGAACTCTTTGCAGTTTGGGAGACTTTTTGGGTTTCCTCTTGCCCCTGTTTTTCCTTGCTACTTGCAACGCATTGGATGTTCCATCTTTCATTTTGCGAGGTGTTTCCAAGTGTTTCCACTGTTTTTGACATTGGGTTTCTCGTTTTGCGCAGTATTTGCGGTATTTTGGAACATGGACGTTGGATTTTGCATTTTGGAACTTCAACCTATCGTTTGCCGCGATATTTGCGGCATGTCACCCCCAAAATAACACAAACAATTGTGGTCTTCTTGTTGTTCTTGCATGTTCTTGCGATCCTTTGCTGCTGTGGTTGTGGTTATCGTGCGTGCGTGTTTCTTGTGGTTCTTGTTGTTCTTGCTGCTCTTGCTGCTCTTGTTGTTCTTGTTGTTTTGTGGTTGTTGCTGTGCTTGTGGTTGTGGTTGTGGTTCCGGTTGCAGTTGCGGTTGGTGAAGCGGAAATATAAACCGAACCAAACCGAATCGCTCCGATGCCACGCCTATATTTTTTTCAGACCTGAAAACAGGGTTTACCCAACAGCAAATTAACATTGCTATGGAAAATGACCAGACGGCTTTTCATGCTTTTCTATTTAAAAAACGCTGGCTTTCTACGTACTTGCAAGAAACACATCAAAATACCATGCCGCCGTTTGCCTTCTGACACCTGCTGGCAGCGCCATTGCACATCCGGTGGTACAAAGCTCCAGCCCCAGGGTGTTAGCAAAGCTCCAAGGTTTGTCGTGAAGTGGATGAAACAAACGAACAGAGGGGACATGTCCACAACATGAAACAAAACGTCCTGGTTGTGGTGGGGAGACCCATTTCAACAAGCTTAGTAGAAATGAACTTTCTAAAAATAAACCTAGGACGCACTCAGACTGGCAAACTGCAAGAAATGACAACCACAAATTGCTGGTCCTGAAAGTCTCTGCAGCATCTACTGGCGAAATTGTAAATTCCAACCTCTTCGGCCCCAAACAATCCAGGTCTCACATCCAAACTTCTTAGCGAAAAAGAATTGCAAACGAGATATTGCAACATGATGAGTCCGAATTTTTTGGCAGCTCAGTCACTATATAACCAGAACCTTCCAACCGGCAGAAACAAAAATATATCACAACTCCACTAGTTGCACCCACTTGGAAGGGATAAGCCCTTTACCAGTCCCAAAGATCGCCACATCCGCCCCTTTCGATTCCACGGCCTTTTCAACTCACTTGCAATTACCTGCGGGATATCCCAGTCTGCGCTTGAGTGCTTCAAAGCAATCTCGTTGGTCCTACAGAGTCACCTGACAAGTGCACCGCACTTGACGGCTGATACACAACTGTCATTGTTTCAAGAGCATCTTTGGCCCACCTCAAGAACTGCTTGGTCGCTTCAAAACCGCAGTGGACGGCTGATACGTAACTGATCTCTTTAAGAGTCGAACTGGCATCTTCGGCTCTGTAGAGTTGCAGCCTTGGCAAGGACTAGAACCGCGCGTGAATTGGCACGGTTTTGGCACAGCCTAAGAGCCTCTGGATCTGACAGCGCGAGTGGCGCATCGTGCGCGTCCTGACTGCTCGCTGTGCTGGTCTTCACTTGAAAAAGGGCGTTTTTTCGGTGCAAGGTGAATGATCGCACCGAAGGGGAATAAAACTATACTGAGAATGCTTAAGGTTTAAGGACGCAAAAGCACGCTTTCTCAGCACCAAGATCATAGAAGACCTGTTCATGCCTTTTTTTTCTCGCAATGCAAAAACGCGAAATCTCCAACAACTTGTCACAACCAGACCAAAATCGATAGAGCTGGTAGGCTGATAGGTTCTTTTATGACATGTTAAAATAATTGTGGAACCCATCCATTTTTGAATCATAAATTTATGCAAACAGTTTGGGTTTTGATTTTGATGGATAGATCCCCATCACCCTAAATATGAAGACCCAAAATAAAAACACATCCAGTGGATTGTTATTTTATAAATGGGGAGCTCCAAAAGAAACCTCATACAAACAAAATCTCATCCACTATCACCAAAAAATGGAAAGATCCAGACAAATGTGCTTAATAAATGGGATGATTGCGACAAAATGGGGTACCCACAAAACATATGAATTAGAATATGTTAGCATGGGCTTGGGGATCCCCCCATTTTAAAATTCAATCCAATATGAATACCAGTGGTGATATATCAAGATATCAGTATCCGATATGAATACCATTAAACATGGTGTGATATATCAAGATATCAGTATCCGATCTTATTAAACATGGTGAACCCCAAAAGACCCACAATACAAGGCTAACCCATCACCATCAAAATACAGATTCCCAAATTCTTCGACTTAGAGCGTAGAGGAGCAGAGGAGCAGGGTCTTCTGTTGTTAGTATTGAGACACTATATTTCCCGACAATATATTAAAGATCTATTTTGGGCAGGCGAGAAGAGTAGTATGAAGACAATATTTTACAAATACAAGACAATAGTTTGCATCGTATCCTTCGTAAAGTTATTCACACACAGAAGCTTTTACACACAGACGCTTTTGCACACAGAAGTTTTTACACACAAACGCTTTTACACACAGAAACTTTTACACACAAACGCTTTTACACACAAACACTTTCACACACAGAGACTTTTACACACAGAAGCTTTTACACACAAACGCTTTTACACACAGAAACTTTTACACACAAACGCTTTTACACACAAACACTTTCACACACAGAGACTTTTACACACAGAACCTTTTACACACAGAGACTTTTACACACAGACGCTTTTACACACAAACACCTTCACACAGAGAGACTTTTGCACACAGACGCTTTTACACACAGAAGCTTTTACACACAGACACTTTTGCACACAGAAGCTTTTACACACAGACACTTTTACACACAAACGCTTTTACACACAGAGACTTTTACACACAGCCGCTTTTACACACAAACACCTTCACACAGAGAGACTTTTACACACAGAAGCTTTTACACACAAACGCTTTACACACAGACGCTTTTACACACAGACGCTTGATATAGATAGTAAATCACATTAATTATATAGGAAAATTATAGAATATCACAGTTACTTGAGCTCAAAATATTTCTCTCAACCAATTCATCCTGCAGTTGGTCCAAGCCCAGCCTTGATGGTCGCACAACCAAATCGCTGATGATTAGGTGAGTCGACCTGCTCATCTGCACGCAAAATCAGTCATATGGGACATGTCCTGAGGTACGCTAAACCCATTCAATACATACATACATCATACATGCATATATATATATATATATTCTACATAGTATAATTACTATAAATAATATATAGACTCAACTTGTAACGAACATGAAGCTGGACAGCTTCATTCTCTCCACTTGATCAAATCTCAAAAATGAAAATACATGCAACATCAGCAGTCCACAAAACGCAGCGCCTTTTAGACTGCTCTTGGCATGGTGGCGAGCAGCCCGGTCTATCCACGATCTGAAACAAAACTGAGTTCCACACGAAGATCCTGTGCTAAGACGAGCCAGGACAGGGCTGAGCAGATTCGATACATCAGCCACAGAACGGCATGTCAAAAGATCTTTAAATGGAACAGCAAAACGACCCGACCAAGGTTCCATCCACACAAAGAAAATCACAGAGCAAATTGAATGAATGGATAGAGCCGGATGCCTCACCCCGTACAATTCATGCACAGGGTGGGTGGGTTTTGGGAGAAAAAGAGAGTCAGAAGACCCGGTGATCACACCAATCGATCTCTAGCCAAAATGGCCACATCGATCGCAGTCCTCAGTGGCGAACGCTGACCCCTGGATGACTGGGTGTGAACACACATATACAAGGAGGGGAGATATATCAGAATATATAAATACCGAGCATATCTATATATACCGACATAAATCCCAAAAAGATCAAGTAGTCGAGCATTACTATATGAGTCCTCTGCTTGCCCCAGACCAACCTTACCGCTGGCATGCAAACGACTCAACTTGTAACGAACATGAAGCTGGACAGCTTCATTCTCTCCACTTGATCAAATCTCAAAAATGAAAATACATGCAACATGAGCAGTCCACAAAACGCAGTGCCTTTTAGACTGCTCTTGGCATGGTGGCGAGCAGCCCGGTCTATCCACGATCTGAAACAAAACTGAGTTCCACACGAAGATCCTGTGCTAAGACGAGCCAGGACAGGGCTGAGCAGATTCGATACATCAGCCACATGCGGCATGTCAAAAGATCTTTGATTGGAACAGCAAAACGACTTAGGCCCTAACAAAACAATTCGTTCGGCCAGATCGGTTTAAACGTGGACCAACCTGCCGCTTCACCGATCTCGAGCTTATCACGCGACGGCCAATCTGCTGGATTGGCGTTGGTCGAGACCCTGTCAATAAAGATGCGAGCACGCAACTTAAGAGCTAGATTCCAAAATACAGACACTAACAAACACAGATCTTCCCGACTGGAGTACCCCTTGATCAAGGCTCCTTCAACGGCCTCAGAATCGATCAGGAGAAAAACATCAGCTCCTCTTACTCGATCGGCAAACGTTTCGAGAGCCACGATGGGAGCTAACATCTCAATGGGGACTATCTGAGTTGACCTCTCAATCCAGTCACACTTGACCTTATCTGGGATTGTAGAGGTAGGTGAATTGCCTAGGTGAGCTTAACCTACGATCAAAAAGGACGGATCCAATCCTATCAGGCAGTCTCTCAGAAGATCTCGGATCTGGTGTGAAGCCGTCCGTAAAGATCACCACGTCCGCCTTTCGTTCAAAGGCAACATCGATCGATCTCGGCGGCCCAGCTTCAACCAGCTTCTTCCATTGAACTAAAGATTCGCGCAAGGCACCATCCAGCTTGAACTCGTTCTGAACCGGGTGGCGCCAGTACTGCCTTTCAGATATTGATCGAAGGAAAGCTCTCCCCACTTTGCCCCACAATTGTGAGGCACCAAACATAAGCTTGCCCTTGAGCTTGCCAGCTGAGCCTGGGTCGAGCAAGCCAGACTGCAAGATGGCATCAATCTCGCCGACCAGCTCAAGCTTGCGATCAGGCTTAATTTCCAGCTGCATGTCCACCAAGTTGTAGGTCACGCCTAGGATGGCAGGCCCCATGGAAAGCTGAAGCTTCTTCTGATCAAAACGAGCTCCCAGCCACAAATGAACTGATTCCGCTGTCAGGCGAGCGCTGGGAGCAGATGATGCTGTCTCAAAGCCATACTTGTCGTCATAGAAGCTGAACGCCACAAGTCCAAAGAGCTTGACCAAAAACTCATTGATGGCAGCAGAGCGTCTATTGTAGTTGTATACTGCAGAGACAAGGCCAAATGAGTGACCGACCATAACGAAGAAAGCTGGCTTCCTCGAGCTGGGGTCTTTCATACAGATGACCGAGAACTTGCGGTGCTCAGGCAGGACAGCTACTTGGCGGTAAGCTTTGCGCTCATCAAGCACCCATCCTTGCAGCTGAGCATTCGGCGCAAGTGTCCTCAGTCTTCTCAGAGCTGACACGTTCGTGTCTGTAGAGGGGAGCTGCAGCTTCTCTGTGATTACGGTCACTTGGTTGATCATGTTGGTGGTCGCGCTGTCGCAGCCTCTCACCTTGCTCTTCTGAACCACTTCAAACCTCTGAGTCGGGATCCAATCATCACAAGCAAGAAGATCCGTGACTTCTCGAGCAGATGAAAAAGGACCTAAACAAGATCCTTCTTGAACGTCTTCCAGCGTCGCCTCCCAGATCTTGATCAGGTTCTCCGATACTGGGAGCTCAACACGCTGGATGATCTTCTTCCGGATTTCCCAGGCCCTATCCAACGCGTCCTGCACTGGGACGCACTTCTGCGGCCGCTCATAAGGAGGCCACCGACCGGTGGGCGCAATCTGCCCTACGATCGGGAAACCACCAAGCAGCAGAGCAGGCAGAGCTTGGTCCGGGGAGCGGCAAGCCCGCAGCATTTCAGCGTACAGAGCAACATGGCAAACTTGACCAAGCTGTGCCTGAGCCGGGTCATGAGTCCCCAACAAACAGGCGCGCGTAGGGCAGGATCAGCAGGCTGCTCCATAATACGCTGGATAGAGAGCGGCAGCAACTCGAGCGCCTTGTTGTGCCACCACTGCAATGCCTGCCGGCGGAACTGAAGCACGGCACCCGGGCTCTGAGCAACTCGACAAAGAGCGGCTTCCAAATCCGGACAATTGTTCAGCTGCCGTGAACGGATGGGGAATACTACTCATCATCCATTGAGCCGCTTCGCCAGGCTCCATTTCGACCTCGAGCAAGGGCTTTGCAGCGCCGCGCTTGAGCTGGTAGCCGGCGGCTAGGGCCTTCTCCGCCGTCTCAGCCTGGCGATGCCCCTTCCAGGGGCGAGAAGAGTGGAGCTCACGCTTCCTGTCGGTCGCAGGCGTGCAAAGAGCAAACGAAGCCACCAAATGAGCCAAAGGATCGAAGAAAATCGCAGCGATCTGAACGGCGATGGTTGCGCACAGGGCCCAGGGGTACACTTGTGCCGCTTTGGTGCGAAAAACCATGCGGCCGAGCTTGGCGTCCCAAACCTTGCCTTGCAGCTTCTTGTGAACATGATTGCCTGGGCAGGAGACGCACACCACCTCGAGCAACTCGTTCGAGCAGAGCAGTCTGGTCGGCTTTCGCCAGGGCGTCCCGAACGCGCATTGGTCCAGGTCCAAGGCGAGTGCACGGCTGCATGTTATGAGCTTGTTGATCAAATCAGTTCCCAGAGCAGGCTAAGGAGGGGGTTTCGATCATGAAATCCCCGCCGAGCATGCAAACAATATAACATGCCTCAACCGTATACGCTCAAGAAAAAGATTACCAAGAAAAACAAGGCACTGATCACAATTAATTGCGCAAATTTGGCAAACCCATGTGGGAGCATCCCGAGATCGCAATGGTGGAGGTCCGCCGTCAAGTTTGCGAGCAGCAGTGAAGGTGTTACATGGTGTACCACAATGCAAAAAGAACACCAGGCGCCTCACGAGCACGGCAATGAGCTGGGTCCAAAAAGAAAAATCAATGATGTCCTGCGGCGAGGTCACGAGCTGTGACGGCTCGATGTCCACGGGAGGCAAAGTCGGCACCCCCTGCAGAGCTACTGCTTCAGTGATCCCTGCTTTGCCCGCAAAAAGTTCCAGCCTGGGTGTCGAAGAGTCCAGGTGCTCAAACATCTGTGCCCACGAGCTGGGTGTGCAGGTGGCAGTGCCAGCAACAGTCTGGTCAGACTGCTGGGCAGACTGACCATCATTCATGCCACGGCCTGCCGGGGGCTCAAAAGACCAACACCCGGGCGGCGCAGAGCCAGGCGCCGCCGGCCGGCCCGAGCTGGCTCAGTGGTTGCCATGCCAAGGGTGGTCCTTACCACACTCGACACAGCTATGCTTTTGCTTACGCTGATCACCAAATCTGCACCCCAGGGAACAGTTGAAAAATGGGCAACGGCGAGGGCCAGAATATTTGAAAGCCGTGATCTGTTGCCATTCCTTAGCGGGGACTCTCTCATCACGAGCTGGTTTCTTTGCATCTTTGCCCGACTGATTCTGCAGAACGGCCTTGGCTTTCTGCAGTTGAGATTTTTGACGAGCACGACGAGCTTTGTTCTTCTTGGCTTTTGGAGAGGTCTTGGCGGGCGACTGGGAGCTCGAGCGGGCTCGCTTGCGCGCTACTGGCGTGCTGGGCTCGATCACTTGAGTCGCGTGCTTGAACTTGTCCAACTCTGCGCTGGACCGGGCATCATTCCAGAGCTGTTTATGATTGTCCAAAACTCTAGGAGGGCTGCTGAAAAGGAAGTGAACTTCTTGCGCTGATCGGAGCCGATACGATGGACCTTCTTCCTGATCAGGGTGTCCACTGTCAGCAGCAGTGCTATAAGCCACGATTCTCATGTCTCCACTCCTCGAGCTCGGCTAGGTACTTCAAAGGGCCCGCCGCGAAGGAGAACTCACAAATGTTGAGGTACTCGAGCGTGACGAAAAAGGCGTGCAGCTTGTCTATGACCTGGGTCTCAGAGCTAGCTGCTGATGGCTGATCCACCATCACCACCCTCAACAGGTCCTCGGCATTCTTGGAGATCCCAGTCTTCTGAGCGATCTGCTCGTTGCGGGTGCGAATCTCCCCAACTTCGTAGAAATGCACGAAGCCGTGAACGAGGAAGTCGCGCTGCACTCGCTCAACGAACTTGCGATGTGGTTCTCTGTGTGGAGGCAAGAGCACATCTGGGTGGCGCTTGACGAACGTCTCCCGGAATTCAGCATGATCTTCGCCGGGGATCTCCGGCACTTTGGACGGGTCTTCTTCCATCTTGGCCCGTCGAGCTGCGAAGTGATCTTGCATGGTATACTGCATATTCCATACAGCTGCGAGCGATGTCAGAGCCAACTCTTGTGCCGGACCGTCGGTGCCAAACTTCTCATGATCTGGCATGAGATTTTTGAGCGTGGCCTTCACCGACGCAATGTCATCGCCGAGCATGGCGAAAGTTTCAACTGTGAGAAGACCAGAATCTGCCGCCAATCTGCACAAATCAGGGTGAACTCGTTGACGCCCAAGCACTTGGCGCAGTGGCAGATCTGGTGTCTTGGCATCATCGTAAACGGTACGATCCACCATGATGAACGAAAAAGAGGGCGGTTTGAGCAGCCAAACTCAAACACAGCACATGATCAAATCAAATCAAATAAAACAACTGAAAAGCAAAAACCCTAACGCACAAAAACTGATGCTGTCTAGGGGCCTCGGGCAGAGCGCTCGAACTCTTCAACGACATCAGGGCGAGCACGAGCATTAATGCTTGCAGAGGCATGCCTTGTCGGGGAGCACAGAGCCCACGTTGGTGCAGTCCTCCAGGTTCACGCGACCGCAAGCTAAGGCAGAATCATCACCATCCGCCAAGCAGTGGTAGCGATAGTCGTAGGACATGGCACCTGTCGTCTTCGCGAAGAACTGCACCGGGGCAAAAGATGATTGATCATCATCCAGTGCTACCTCGTCTGACTCCTCGACCGGGTGCTCTTGCACGAGCATGTCCTGGACGAGCTGCTGCACCATCTTTGCCGGGATGGCTGATCTGTTCCTGGTGTACTTCAGAACTAGCGGGCCAGGGTTCTTCCAATTAGCCTGTAGGCCGATCTCTTCAGCGCTGCGCCCTGCATGAACTGCCGCGTCCAACAGGGTCACTCTTGCCGAGTGCGCAGTGATCTGCATGATTTTCTGCTCGAGCTGTTTGAACTCCGCATCCAGGCCCTCATGGTACTGGTTAAGAGCATACTTGCAGAAACAGCGGAGCCACTGCAACGAGCGTTGATAGACTGCTGGATGGTCTCTGAACGCATCTCTGGTATTCAGATCCCTCATCCAGTAGTCCCTATCAAGATCTTCATTATGTAAAAGAACCCAACCAGTCTGTAACCAATCAACAGTTGAAAAACCTACTAATGGAACAACAAATTTTGTGCCCCTCCTCTTTCTCTCGACCTTGGTCTGCCACGCCACGCCGAACATGCCCTCCTCGTTGAGCACGAGTTCGTCTGGCCTCACGTGCATGGCGTCATCAAACCGTAGGGATGCAAAGACCATGCATAACCACCACCACACAAAAAGGCGAGCGCTATCAGGCTCACGATCGTCTACCACAAAAAGCTCAAGGCAGCGGACGATCTGAGTGGGGATAGGAACTGCTTCCCTGAGCGTCTTGGCCCTCTTCATGATCACATCTTGCTGGATCGCTAAGAGGCCAGGGTGATTCACATCAGGGCACTCAATGGCGAGCTTCCCCGTGACCCACTTGACAGACGTCCTGAACGTGGGAATCACAGAAGGGCCACACTCTTCATTACTCAAATGCATTGCATACTGAATGAGCTTGGCACTATTGATGGGATGGAGCTCAACATCCTTGCTAGCCATCCAGTCAGCGAACCTCTCCCAGTTAGTGACATGAACAGCCATAGTTCTTGGTGCCCCTGATGAAAGAACGAGCTGTCTCAGGCGCGCAATCTCTGCGTGCGAAAGCCCGCTCCCATTGGAGGTCTCCAACAGGAGCTTTGAGAACGCACCCGCCTTCTTCCCAATCTCCTCCAATCTTGCTGCCCACTTCCAGCGAGCTGCATTTTCCTGATCAAGGAGCGGAGTGTTGGACGACGAGCTAACATCAGTCTTCAAAAGCTTCCTAGGAGGACGAGAAGGCCTATCAGTCAAAGCTTTGATGGCGCCCACTCTTCGAGCTCTAGCTGCATCAGAACTAATAGGCGGTATAGGAGCTTCACACATCCCAAACCCTAGTTGCAGTACAGTAGACTCAAAGAACGACTTCTCGACCGAAGTTGCCAAGTTCCAGAACTGCTCTAACATAAAGGGTTCAGTCAGAATCTCAGCCCTGATCTCTGAAGGCAACTGTGACGCCCACTGAGCCACCTTGAGGGCAAACTCATGAGCCGACCCAACCTCCATGGAGAGCACAAGAGCCAGGTTGGAGTATGGCGACTGCAACAACGCCTTGGCAAACGCATCAGAAAAGACAGGCAACGCCAAGATCTTGGCTGCCCATCGGTCTGGCGCTTGAGCCATGTCGCTTCTCCAGCACGAACCCTCTGACAAAACACCTACTTGGAAGCAGTGAAAAGAAATGGACAACATGAACATGTTCATGGGTCTTCGCGACACAAGCTCTTCCCGAGCACATGATGCATGTGCTGCATGAACATGACATGAAAAAGAAATGATAAGCATGCCAAAGTCTTCACGACTTATAAAATCTTGAACAAGACATCGAAATAACGTGATTGACATGCAAGCGTCTTCACGACCAAAACTCAAACGAGACAAAGTTAAAAATCCACACAAATCCAAACTTATTGAGCAATGAGATAAATCAGATCAAACAGAATCCCAGGACTGAGAAAACATGAGCATCATCAGTCGCAAGGACTCAAGTTCGATCTGAGTTCCCACAACTGCACTGGGGGCCGATACCTGAGCAGGTTGATAATGGCCAGGAGCAAGGGCAGTCAGGGTGAAAAAGGAAACGAACCAACGTGGGGTGCTTGCGGGGTGCAAGAGCAGTGATCAACCACTTCAAGCTTCAACCCCTTAAAACCCCACACTTGTTTTTGGACTTCGATCGCTTCGTCGCTGGTCAGGCAGCGAAACAGCTCCGTGTGAGCAAAACTCGATGATCACTGATGATCACCAACGTGATCACAAATGTAATGAAATGATTTCAAAAAGGGTAGATCAACTACACTTCGCCAGGCTCTTCAAGTTCTTCGACCACTGGCGCCGGCCCGAACGATCTTGGCACTGACGAGGTGGAGCCACCCTCCATCACTTGACGGATCTGCTGCACTTGATCCACAAAAGCTTGAGGCGTGACACTCGCGACCGCCATCGTCTCATACTGCCTGGCTTCCAAAGATCTCCGCGGCACGTGAACAGTCTTGTCCCCTCGAGCTGAGGCCTCCGGGGCATGACCAACTTCTGACACTGAGATCTCCACGTCTGTCGGGATGGCAGCCTGCAGTGGAGCCACCGGCGGCCCAACAAGAGCTTTCAACGACCCTGCAGCTTGAGCACTGGGAACTACAGATGGGCCACCAGTCACAGGCGGCACCACGATCGTCTCAACCTCCCCTGCAATGTCATGGTTGTCATTGTACTGCAAGGCAATGGCCTCCTTGGGAACTAAGACCATATAGGCGCCTTGAGCAATGGCGCTTCACATGTCAAATGAACATTGCTGGGGTGCGATTCAACGGCGACCGCCCCAATTCGAGGTCCAGTGTCCTCGATCCCAGTGGCCTCAGTTGCAGCCGTCCAGTGAGCATGGATTCCAGCCAGTTGGGACATCTGCATCGTCTGATCTGGCCCCTCAACGCGAGCTTGGCGTTCGCGGCACCATCGAGCATTCTGGATGAGCGTAGGCCCAGACACCCTCGAGAGCACCAACCATGTCGAAGGGACCGTCACTTGCGAGCAGGCCACATCCACTTTGTCACTGGCTGATCTGAACCTGAATTCCAGCCGATCAGCGTCCATCCCATAGATCCTTCCCCCAACCTCGAACGAGCTAGCGACTACTCGCCACCCAGTGAAGATTGTCACCACACAAGCCGGGACGAAGAGCACTTCCTTGAGCGACATCACCAGAGCATCGTTGAGGTAGTTCAACTGCACGGTCATGTCCTGATCAGTACGGTACCCTCTGAGCTCAAGATGCAAGAGCAGGTTGCCCTCGACCTTCACCTTCACATCGACCCAGATCGATGAGTCATTCGTCATCATCGGCCAACGGAAGGGCTGAAAAGCCGCATGGGACAACACTGAGCCCGTGTCTGCATCCCAATTTGCACAAGGGACCGAGCCATAGGATGTCATCGATCCGACCAGGATGAACTTGTAACCGTCGTGCGTTCTCATGTAGAACAGGTTCATGTGGTACCCCACGTTCGGAGCTCGAACCAGCTGGCGATCAACCAAAACATTGATGCCTGACTGTGCATTGACCAGGATCTCGTCAAGCAGCCACCCCTGAAAAGGGGACTGAAAAGGGGACTGAGCGCTCCTCTTCTCCAGACCCGAGCTGTTGCACAAAAGGGGGCAGCTGGAAGTTCTGAGCGTTCTGAGCCCCTCCAACTGACATGGGGGTCCAACGCACTCCCTTGTGACCCCTCTGCTTGGCTGGAGCTTTCTGCTGAGCGAGCTTGGTGGACTGCTTCTGCTTGCTGTCCAGCACCTTCTTGGCAGCTTGAGTTGCAGGAGCAGTCCCAAATGCTGACCAGCCGCTTGCTGGAGAACTGTCAGCAGCCTTGAAAAAGGCTTGAGGATCAT